GGGGGCGGGGCGGGGGTAAAAGACACACTACTTGAACACAACCAAGTAAATACTTAAAAAGGATAAAATTGTGTCACAGCATCTAAACTGGAGGAAGATTCTAATATTCCCATTTTCTCATCTCCATGCCATCTGGAGGGCTTCCTTCCACCGCCTTTGAACCCACTTCTTTCCAATTTGTCGACAGCACTGTCCCATTTGACTCAACCTGTTCAGCAGGATGGGAAAGAAACAAGGAAATATTACTTGATCTATCAAAATATGTAATAAGCTTGGCGGTAGGGAACTAAAGAAGCGCAAACTAGTTAATAAGACTAGGATCTTGAGAAACAAATTCTCTATGAACACTCTAGCAAGGAGGATGAGGGGTAAGATTAATGGGAAGGGGGAATGAGAAGAACTAGATAATGATGCACTCATATACATATTGAAAAATTCATTTCACTCTTACAAAAGATTTTTGCATGGCTCTTCTTGTGTCCTCATCAGCATCTTGGTAGATGTCTCGGAAAAACTTGTTCAAAGCCGCATCTCCATCCAGTTTTTCGTCTTTCTCCTGAAATTCAAACCACCAAATAAATCGTGGCCAAAACTGGCAATTGTATAACCATGCAGAATCTGTAGGAAAGATAAACAGGATGACTCATATAAAGCCACCAAATTACTTTGTAGGAGAGTAAACAGCAGGAGTAAGACCCAGATAAAAGCTACCAAGTTCCAGGCATACCTGCTTTTTCACTTCAGCTTCCAGTTTATCCCAATCTACTGTCTTTGGTTTCGAGGAAGGATAGCTGGGTTTCTGGTTGCCTATGAAATGCAAAAGCAAGAAAGAAGCTTCTCAGTATGACGAAGTAGTAGCTTCTCCATTGGATGAGTTAGTCCTAGTAATAATAATGGACTATAAAAGACAGGTGATGGGTGTAAAAAGAAAACATCAAGCTATATCCTATAAGAAATGAGGTCCTTTACCCAATATAACTTAGCTCACACATTGTAGTACACTAATAACCAGATATGGGCAGAATTTAGCATTTGGAACAAGTTGACCAAGGGAAACAAGGAATACTCATGGGACTCCTAAACAAACCTGACACAATTAAATAATAGATAAATAACATTACATATTAGAAATGTCCTGTAAACAATTGAAACATATTGTGATCTTCTTTACTTTGTTGAATTGGATGATCGAACTCAAAGATATGAACTGAATGTCATTTCGTGAGTTACTGAAAACAAAGGAGTGTCATGATCATCCCAATAAGAAGTGTTTCCATTTCTCAAATAAACGATTTAAAGACCTATTGATTCTAACAACTGCTTGCAGAGTTGATCATTCGGACCTGGGACATAGGCCTTAAATCCGACTACTTCCCCTTTAAAGAGGGCAGGAGATGCCACCCAAGTTAATAGTTGTAACTAATTTCATTCCCTGAATCCATCAAGTTAAACCAGCACTATTTTATAATTCGATCAAATTACTGCTTCATCCTCCTGTCAGAATTTGACAAAATGAAATACAGAAGCATGCTGAACAACCTGATGGCACAATCAATTTCTGCGGAACTGTGTTGTCCTTGCTAAATTCAAGAGATGTCCAATTTAGGGGTTCAGCTTTTGCAAGTCGTATTTCAATCTTTGTAGACAAAACTTCAAATCTGCATTTTGCAGGAATTATCTGCTTGTAATAACAAGGATGCCAAAAAAAAAAAGTTAGTGCCTAAAACGATTGTGATTAGCAACAGTTACTTCTGCCATCATAGAAAAATAGATCCAGAAAACACTTCTAGCAAACTGTACAACGCATGATAAAGCAAAACCTGTTTTATGTAAAGTTTAATGACATGAAGTTTATGCATCACCTTTCCAAATAACCGAGGTTGAAAAGTATATGCATCTTCACCAGGCACATCAATGGAAACACTAAGCTGCAAAGCAATCGAAGGAAAAAAAATGAAAGTGAGTTGCGTACTGTTAGCCCCTTATTCTGTACTAAATATTTAGCATCATGTACTTTAATTATGCAAAACATTTCATTATCAGAAGAATATAAATTGTAAACATACTATTTGTTCGCCATAGTCAACCACAACACTTTTAGCTGGTATACCCTTTGCAAATATAGTCACAACCACTTCCTCTGATTTCTGATAAAATCCATGCCTGCAAAATATTTGTTCAAGGTGAATCATATATCTGAGAAGAACATAAAAATTCTTCATCCAAAACCATTTTGTGAAAAAAATGTAAATCTTTAACAGCCTAAAGGGACCCATCAAAATAAATATCTTCTTTTTGGACGGTAAGGGCCCAGCAAATAACCATACAAACATATTAAGCTATACAGAAAGTCCTAATGCATCCCAGACACAGGGATCCTAAAAAACAGCCTGCTCTCTAAAAACTCATTATAGAGAAATATATTGTTGACCAGATAAGTACGAATCTTTTTTGGTTGTAAAGAGCCAAAAAATGATTTAAGCTAATCACAACCAAGGATAATATTAGTCATTTCTTGATGTAAAAGTTAACAAGTTTTAAGCTAATCATACCTGAGGATAATACTTGTCATTTCTATACATCAGAAAAACATTTTCTAAGATTACTATTTACTGGATTTTACCATAAGCAACAGGAGAGTGGTAACAATCTTTTGATTAACTGAATTGTAAAACTTGCAAATTTGAAGTACAGAAAAAGGGCACTACCTGTATTTTGGTTTAGCCATCGTCACCTGTTTGGAGAGGTTACTAACCAGCTGAGCATCGTTTGAAGCTACAGAAGCTTTATCCAATTGTTGAGAAGGAGTAGTAACATTAGTAGGGATTGTATCCATCGATTGTGTGGGCAGCTCCCCAGCTTCCTCTGAATAAGCAAGCAAAACTCATCGAACAAATGAACGCACACACTCACATGACATTATTAAGATGTCCACCAATTTCCAAATTTCGCGAATTTTGCATACTGATTATTTGACTACCTTCTACAAAACCTAGTATCACCTACAAGAAGGATCCTTAGTACGAATCCGTTATAGACAGATAGCATTACCTGCAATGCACACATCACATTCTTTGATCAAACTAGTGAATCTTGAATCCCCCGGTGCTAAAGAAGCACCTGTTTCCAAGGCAGCCTTAGCAGTCTGATATTCTTCAAGCTTGATACATGCAGTGCTGTAAGCAGAAACACAAAATCAATGGAATCGCTTGAGGTAGCATGTGAAAGGCAATGCAGGATAAACATGTAAAACCAGAAACATGAAAATTGTGGTCATCAAAAACAGAGAACTGGATAGAATGAGAAGCCATTCCCACTCATCTGGAGAGGTAAAGAATTAACAGATGCTGGTCAACACATATCATTATAGTGGCCTACAATGCCACATGAGTTAAAGAGCAACGGCAATATGGATTAACAACTACTCAAGTTACATCAAGAAGGCATGTGCACCACACAACAACCCTTAATATTGCTTTCAACCTTAAATAGAACCTTAAGTATTAACAACAAATCTGTAACTTCCTTTAAAATGGAAAAAAGAATTGCCCGCATAGCATCCAATTGCCCTCGGGAAAGAACGCCTAACTGAGAGCTGGTGCGGGCCTTGGAACACGAAAAAACCATTGTTCCACTCGTCCTAACGGACTCAATCAGTTATTAACATATTCGAGTAGATTGATTCTTTCTTTTGGTTCAATCCAGTGGTAGAATTTCCAATGGAGAATCTTTCTAAAAAAATATCTCTGGCAAAACGCCTTTGTCTGGTCAAGAAGGGAGAAAGCCCGGGTTTCTGGACTGTGACTCTTCTATTACATTGCAGAGAAGTCCAAATAAATCAGCCCACCTACGGTCCAACCAATTGTAATTACGGAAATGGTGACTCCGATAATGGCCGGTTGGCAGTGTCCGGCCCTTTCTAGGACTTTTGACTATCCCACTAACTTCCTTTTCTTGATCTTGATCCATGTAGAAATTCCGGAACTATGGTCCTCGTTGAACAACTTCCACCTTGGCATTTAAAGAGTGCTTGCATTCATTATTTGCTAATAGATGACTAATAACAACACATCATGTGGAATAGGAGAGAATACCAATGACAACACACCATAATGAATAGGCAAAGGATGCACTTCCTCACACGAAATTGAAAATGAGAGAGAGAGAGAGAGGTGGTATATTCAATGCTGGAGGCAGAAAGATAGGCCAAACAACAAAACAACAAAGCATTTTGAAGGAATCATAACCATAAAGTTGGACAGCGAACAATATACAATCTATTCCTTAGATTTGCCATCATGAGTGAAAGATACATGAAAAGACTACAATACGTTTATGGATAAGCATCAGTACGTTGACCACTCATGGGTGAACCCATCGACAGAGGTGTACAAGTGCATACATATCTAATGTTCAGAATCAAGATGATCTGCAAGAAGTAATTTCTGCTCATGGGTCAAAATGCCAGCATGCAGGTCAATCATACCAACATGATGCCAATGGAAACAACTAGGAACATCCAAAGATAACCAATGGATTATTAATAGATCATATTCTATTCAACGGAAATCAGGAAAGATTTTATTCATGAGAATCAAGGACACAACCATACAGTCCTCACCAAATCCCAAAAAATGTTACTCTCAAGTGCTACAAGATAGTTATACACCCACACAACATACATATCTAATGTAGTATACATTGCAAAGATCTTTAAAAAATGAAAAAGAAAAGGAAAAAAAACTTTAAATGCAGGCTAAAAAGGCAGACTATCTGGGAGCCAGAAGCATATAAAAGGCTCTAGTGATAACATGTGAGCTCGTGCTTAGGGAATCAAACAACAAATCGACATCATCAATTTTATAAAATATACACACCCTTTACGCAAATATGCTTTAGCCATTGATGGATCCAATTCAATCGCATTGTTGGCATCAGCAACAGCTCCTGCTCATAAGATGGCATGGATTACTCAACAACTCTTGAAAAAGAAAACCAAAGAACACAAAGCACCCACATCAAAGAAATAAAACATGATCAAAAGAACAAAGTGTACGCAAGTGCATGAGAAAATAAGGATTAAGCACCATGAGCAAAGGATGAAACAAGAGCAGAGATGAAAGTCAGACTAAAATTATTTGGAAAATCTCAAACTTGGGTAAAGCTTTCAACTCTTGCATATTCTCAAGTATACCACAACACCATCGGCAACAAATTATAGAGTTTAGATCATGAAGAACTCAAAGAACAATTTCAAAACCAACAACCATGCAACCCAGGACATGACAACCTATCACACGGCATCTGGCAGACCAAATCTGAACACTGACCAATAATATAAGCATCTATCAGATGCTTACCGAGGCAGACCAAACCACAAGGGAATATAAGATTATCGTTTCTCCAGTCAATGAGATTTCAATAGCTATCGTTCTTTAAAATGTAATTGTCCATATCATCAATTTCATACATCTTGGAGTTGATCAATCAACATATTTCCTTCCTAAACCAAATGCCGTCAATGCAAGAAGATATGCCCCAGGATCTTATTCCTCTATTTGTAGCTTCAATCCCGAAGAATCAGTCTTCTCCATAAATAAGACTCTAACCATTACCACCCAGATATTGTGATATGGAAAATCAGTATGTTTGAACCTCAGGTTCTTCGGATAAAAAAACCTCAGGTTCTACAGTCTAGCCACAGCAAGGTTGTTGAAAACATTAATGATGCAAACTGAATAAATAGTACACTATTTACCCTATCACATAATAGTACAGTTGCATCTTTAATTGGACTAGTTACCCATCCCTGATCCATTAAGCTCCCAATGATGAACGAGTCATGCAAAAATTAGCATTACAGATATAATCTGCAATCAGAACCTTGTGAAATTAAACTGCATTGCCATACTCATTTGAACTCACTGAACCTTTATTTATCGAAGTCAAAACACAGCCCTTGTTCTAATTTAGCCCCAAAAATATAAATACAATGTAACACAGAAAGAGAAATAAGTTTTGCAGTTATAAACAGAGAGTATATTCAAAAGAGTGTACTCGACGCCTACAAACTACAAGAAAACTTCACTATCACACTATACAGACTAGAGAAGCATATCCAAACAATTTTTTTTTAACTCAAAACGAAATCTAGCACAGAGTGTCGATAATTTAATTTTGCGCACCGCTGCTTTTTGTGGTTGTTCAGAAAACATAGGAAAAGGGATCTCAAACTACCAGTTCAAATATTCTCTTCCTCAGTATTTGAAATAAAAACGCCCGGTCAACAGAGCCTAATACGATTATTTAGATTAAACACAGAGACTTAATCTATAAAGTTTCGCTTTCGGTTTCCTAGGTTTTCTCGGCAACCAGACGGAAAATATATAGGGTGGAGGAATACCAGTGAAGTTTTTGAGTTTGATGTTGGCCTGAGCGCTGTCGGCGTAGAGCTCGGCGTTCTTTGGATCCATAGCGATGGCTTGAGAGTAGATTTCAACGGCCAATTCGAAGTGGTCGTCGATGAAGGCCTCTTTAGCTCTGATTTCGAGATCGGTCGCCATAGGAATCTGACTCAACTCAGAGAACTCTCTAGAGACATAAAAAGGATGAACAATGCTGGGCTTCAAGCGCTAATGGGATAATTATTGAGAGAGAGAGAGAGAGACAAGGAAAGTTGACACCAACTCAAGTCTACGATTTGCAGTAAAAAATTAGGGCAAGTTACAGTAATTTTTTTTTTTTTCGGTAAGTAAGAAAGGGCAAGTTACAGTAGGTTCCTCCAACAATCCAATAATTTTACCGATCTATTATCATTAACTTTGAATAACTGATAATCAAACTAAATTACTCGACCACAACTCGGGATCGGTTTGTATCAAACTCAGTTCTTGTTTGGAGTTTATTTTTTAGAGGAGTTGAATTTAAATAATTTTTAAAAATTTTTTTAAAAAAGTACATAAAATTATTTGTCAAAAAGGATATAGCTCTTAATATTAGGCAATTAAGTTCTTATTTTTAGAATTTAATTATGTACACAATTTAATTTTTTGTAATTTTTTTTTGATATATTTATCCTCCCTTAAAGCATACATATTTCTTTTGGTTGTTAATTGGATTTTTGATTTTTTTTTTATTATATTAAAGATTTTTCAATATAATGGGGGAATTATATTATCACAAGATTTACATATAACGTTGATTATGTATATTTCTATCATTTTAAATTTTAATTTTTTTTGTCATTATCATTGTGAGTAAGCATCTCTCTCTTCTTCTTCTTCTTCTCTAAATTATTAATCATTAATGTTCAAAAAAATTCAAATCTATCATTTTTATTATTTTCCAACGAGTAGGAAAAAACTCAAGTATATTGTATTTCTTCTTCTATAACGTTCATATATAATTAGATTAAACTTATACCTTCTTTTATTTTTTATTTTTATTTTTATTTTGTTCGTTCTATAGGTTGTTAGTTAATTTCGAGTGTTTTTTTCCACAGTTTTCATATTCATTTTTACTTCTTGTGTTGGGTGATCATTTTTTTTATTAACTTTTCATATTTTAAATGATTATTTGTTATTTTTGAGAAATGATATACAGCCCAAACAAATCCCAAAATTAGCAACCCACCGTGTGTTTACTTTGTCATCACATGAAGTCTCGTGACCGATGAGATCCCTCTCCTATTTTCCTTCTTTTTTTTTTTCTTTTTTCCTTATGTCATTTGGTCTCCTCAAAACATAAAGCTAAGGCCTCAACAGAGAAACAAATTTGACAGATCCAACAAGATTAACAAGTCCAGTGAACACAAGATTTTTTGGGTTACTATCCTACGCCATTTATCCAAGGTATTTCGTTAATTTTTTTAATTAATTTTTTGACTGATTTTTCTATCTATCGCTCTTATTGCTCGATTCAATACTTCTTTTAACTTTTATGTATCTTTTGTTTCACTCTTTCATTTATTTATCTTCTATTAAATGATACATTCGACAATTTTTTTGACCAATAAAAAAAATTAGGATTTGATATGCCACACCACACATAGATTTTTTTTATTTTTAGGCTTTCAAAATTAGGTGATTCAAACTTAATTCCATTTCAAGGTATGTTGGTGGAAAGTCATGAATAGTGAAAACAATTGATATGGATGTTGTGGGAAGGCATTAACAATGAACATATGTACTTAATTTTATTCACATTTACAATTTGTTTGATTAATACATATAGCTATGTGATGATAGGTGGTTGAGAATCTTGTGATACATAATAATGTACTTAAATTTTTGGAAGGTTATTTTTTTTTGGAAGGTTACGAAAATAATGTGTTACTTTTGTAGAGCATGAAAGAGGAATTATCAAGTTGTTGCAGAAGTATTGAATTGAATGAAGAAACTATGGAAAATGAAATCGAGAAAATAAAAAATGTAGAAGATAAAATAGAGGCGGTTCACTAAGGTGGGAATGTCATTTAATTCCATCGATAAGCTTACCGAGTTTTATACAAGATATGACAAAGAAAATGATTTTGCAATGAGTAAGAGAACATGTGTGACAATTCATATATAAAATAATCACTAACACGCTAATTAAGTTGTCAATTATGATTCTATATAATTAAGGGTAATTTTTAGAAATTTCAAATAAATAAATAGATTTCAAATATGAATTCTTTGTGTGAAAACGAGTTGAATGACTATAATTTAGGTCAAATTTTAAAATAATATGATGAACGAATGTATCTACAAATATATATACATGTGCTAGAGGACAAGTTTCCTATTATATGGGTTGCAAATTAAAAATGTGCAAGAGAAAAAAAACTACAAAAACATATGGCCAAACAAATGGACAAATGGCCATGTGATGCTAGATGAAGGAGGTCACCTAAGTGACGTTGGAAGCAAAGCTTGGGCTGTAAATAGCCAAGCACTTGGCCATTCGACCAGGCAACAAGAGGAGAGAGAGAGANTTTTTTTTTTTTCGGTAAGTAAGAAAGGGCAAGTTACAGTAGGTTCCTCCAACAATCCAATAATTTTACCGATCTATTATCATTAACTTTGAATAACTGATAATCAAACTAAATTACTCGACCACAACTCGGGATCGGTTTGTATTAAACTCAGTTCTTGTTTGGAGTTTATTTTTTAAAGGAGTTGAATTTAAATAATTTTTAAAAAAAATTTANTTGAATAACTGATAATCAAACTAAATTACTCGACCACAACTCGGGATCGGTTTGTATCAAACTCAGTTCTTGTTTGGAGTTTATTTTTTAGAGGAGTTGAATTTAAATAATTTTTAAAAATTTTTTTAAAAAAGTACATAAAATTATTTGTCAAAAAGGATATAGCTCTTAATATTAGGCAATTAAGTTCTTATTTTTAGAATTTAATTATGTACACAATTTAATTTTTTGTAATTTTTTTTTGATATATTTATCCTCCCTTAAAGCATACATATTTCTTTCGGTTGTTAATTAGATTTTTGATTTTTTTTTATTATATTAAAGATTTTCCAATATAACGAGANTTTTAGAATTTAATTATGTACACAATTTAATTTTTTGTAATTTTTTTTTGATATATTTATCCTCCCTTAAAGCATACATATTTCTTTTGGTTGTTAATTGGATTTTTGATTTTTTTTTTATTATATTAAAGATTTTTCAATATAATGGGGGAATTATATTATCACAAGATTTACATATAACGTTGATTATGTATATTTCTATCATTTTAAATTTTAATTTTTTTTGTCATTATCATTGTCAGTAAGCATCTCTCTCTTCTTCTTCTTCTCCAAATTATTAACNCATGTGATGCTAGATGAAGGAGGTCACCTAAGTGACGTTGGAAGCAAAGCTTGGGCTATAAATAGCCAAGCACTTGGCCATTCGACCAGGCAACAAGAGNTTGATTATGTATATTTCTATCATTTTAAATTTTAATTTTTTTTGTCATTATCATTGTGAGTAAGCATCTCTCTCTTCTTCTTCTTCTTCTCTAAATTATTAACCATTAATGTTCAAAAAAATTCAAATCTATCATTTTTATTATTTTCCAACGAGTAGGAAAAAACTCAAGTATATTGTATTTCTTCTTCTACAACGTTCATATATAATTAGATTAAACTTATACCTTCTTTTATTTTTTATTTTTATTTTTATTTTGTTCGTTCTATAGGTTGTTAGTTAATTTCTTGTGTTTTTTTCCACAGTTTTCATATTTATTTTTACTTCTTGTGTTGGGTGATCATTTTTTTTATTAACTTTTCATATTTTAAATGATTATTTGTTATTTTTGAGAAATGATATACAGCCCAAACAAATCCCAAAATTAGCAACCCACCGTGTGTTTACTTTGTCATCACATGAAGTCTCGTGACCGATGAGATCCCTCTCCTATTTTCCTTCTTTTTTTTTTTCTTTTTTCCTTATGTCATTTGGTCTCCTCAAAACATAAAGCTAAGGCCTCAACAGAGAAACAAATTTGACAGATCCAACAAGATTAACAAGTCCAGTGAACACAAGATTTTTTGGGTTACTATCCTACGCCATTTATCCAAGGTATTTCGTTAATTTTTTTAATTAATTTTTTGACTGATTTTTCTATCTATCGCTCTTATTGCTCGATTCAATACTTCTTTTAACTTTTATGTATCTTTTGTTTCACTCTTTCATTTATTTATCTTCTATTAAATGATACATTCGACAATTTTTTTGACCAATAAAAAAAATTAGGATTTGATATGCCACACCACACATAGATTTTTTTTATTTTTAGGCTTTCAAAATTAGGTGATTCAAACTTAATTCCATTTCAAGGTATGTTGGTGGAAAGTCATGAATAGTGAAAACAATTGATATGGATGTTGTGGGAAGGCATTAACAATGAACATATGTACTTAATTTTATTCACATTTACAATTTGTTTGATTAATACATATAGCTATGTGATGATAGGTGGTTGAGAATCTTGTGATACATAATAATGTACTTAAATTTTTGGAAGGTTATTTTTTTTTGGAAGGTTACGAAAATAATGTGTTACTTTTGTAGAGCATGAAAGAGGAATTATCAAGTTGTTGCAGAAGTATTGAATTGAATGAAGAAACTATGGAAAATGAAATCGAGAAAATAAAAAATGTAGAAGATAAAATAGAGGCGGTTCACTAAGGTGGGAATGTCATTTAATTCCATCGATAAGCTTACCGAGTTTTATACAAGATATGACAAAGAAAATGATTTTGCAATGAGTAAGAGAACATGTGTGACAATTCATATATAAAATAATCACTAACACGCTAATTAAGTTGTCAATTATGATTCTATATAATTAAGGGTAATTTTTAGAAATTTCAAATAAATAAATAGATTTCAAATATGAATTCTTTGTGTGAAAACGAGTTGAATGACTATAATTTAGGTCAAATTTTAAAATAATATGATGAACGAATGTATCTACAAATATATATACATGTGCTAGAGGACAAGTTTCCTATTATATGGGTTGCAAATTAAAAATGTGAAAGAGAAAAAAAACTACAAAAACATATGGCC